ATTTGAAGCTTGTATCTCTAATGCCTCTATTCTGCCAACCCTCTTGTTCTGCCTTTGGTATTAAAGTTTTTCTTAAGATATTTTTGTATTTGTTATCATTGGGAATCAGCTTTTTTTGGAGTGAGACAATAATGAAATTGGAAAGTTCTTTGTGCATGAGTGGCACCTGTTAGTGGGCTCCACTGTAGGGTTTCCTGAGTGATCTCTTTTTGAGGTGACGCTCCCACTCCATTATCATCTGTCATTTCTCCTAGTCTAGTCTGTTACCCTTTGTGGAAACTTCCAGTGTCCCGTGTGTGGAGTATAAGCCTTGTTTCAGTTTCCCGTGACTGAGGAGGGAAGGCAGCTGGCTCAGTATTTGATATTTGGTAGATACTTTCAGCTGTATATGGTATTCTTGCATGTGGTTCAGCTTTTCAAGACTTTTAATTAGGATAGGCTAAACTGTTGTAACATACACAGTTGACACTCCATATCCTATTAATTAGGATAGGCTAAACTGCTGTAACATATATACAGTTGACTCTCCATATCCTATTAATTAGAATAAACTAAACTGCTGTAACATAGTTGACAATCTGTATCCATGGGTTTTGCATCCATGGATTAAACCAACTGCAATAGAAAAGAATTGGAAAAAAAATAAAACCTAATACAAATAAAAATACAGATAACAGTTACTTGCATGGCACTTTCATCATATTATAAGTAATCTATTATTATAATTTAGTTGATGGGAAGATGTGCTTAGGTTATATGAAAATACCACATCATTTTATGTAAGGCACTTTAACATACATGGATTTTGGTATCTGCGAGGTCCTAGAACCAATCACTCATGGATACCAAGGGATGACTGTAGAACTATATATTGTCTACATATAGTTCTACATATATATATATATCTATATATCTATATGTGCATATATATATGTGCATATATATATGTAGATATATATATGCACGTATATATATATAAAGGTAGAGGGAACATCCAAGAGGAAAATGCTTATAAGTAGTAGGAATAAAATTCATGGCTAAACAGAGAGGGGAAACATTGCTAAGTGTTGCTAGGTGCCTAAGCCAATCTTCTATTATTTACTCAAAGGTTTTAATTATCCTCAGGGCTCTCTGAATTAAGCTTTGTCTCCATTTTATAAAAGAGAAAACTGAAGTTCTGAGAGAGAAATAATTTTCTCAGGTTCATGTCAGGGTTTGAAGCAAGATTGTAAAAACAGTTTACCACTTATTTTTAAAAGGTATGTGATATTTAAGGCAGTATTAGATTTGTGGTGGAAGAGAGCTTTTAAATGGCATTGAAAAATAATGTTTTTCTATGACTCTTTTGGCATAAATCCCTAAAAAGTCTCAGAGATATACAGGATTAAGTATTTTGAAAATTGTTGCAAATACTGAACCTCTGACAGGAAGTCCAAAGGATAAATAATCCAAAACTAAATAAATCATACACAAAAATTGGATTATTAACATAGGATAACATGATATAGAGTAACTGGGTCATTACTTCAGACGGACTAAGACAGGTAATAGCTTAGGTAACATGAAGCATTTATCATAGGTACAAAAGTGTATACAGGCACACCTTGTTTTTTTGTGATTTGCTTTATTGCAATCTTACAAAATCATAAGGTTTCAGAAAGTTTCTGATCATAACCCTTGCCAATAAAGTCTGTTGGTACCATTTTCCAACAGCATGTGCGTTGTTAAGGGAATCGTGACAAGAAAAAAAGTCTGTATATGTTCAGTCCTCATATAACCATCCATTTTTTTCCCTCAATATCTTCCATTAGTGATTAATTGAACCCAGGAATGCAGAATCCACAGACACAGAGAGCCAACTGTATATTGTTTTGGTTTGCCTGTTTTAGAACTGGGATCAGATTATTTAATTGTCGTAATAATTGTACATATTTATGGGTTATGTGGTGATGTTGTAATACATATAAGGTAATCAGATCAGGGTAATTAAAATATACATCATCTCAAACATTTATCATTTGTGTTGAGAACATTCAGTATCCTCCTAGCAATTTGAAAAACTATATATTGTTAACTATAGTTATCCTAAAGTGGTATAGAGCACTAGAACTTATTCCTTCTATCTAGCTATAATTTTGTTTAACAAATCTCTCCGATCCTTCTCTTCTTCCTAATCCTTCCCATTCTCTAGTATCCTCTGTTCTACTTTGTATTTCTGAAATCAACTTTTTTTTTTTGTTAAAGCTTACACATTAGTGAGAACATGTGGTGTGCAACTTTCTTTCTCGTTGGCATATTTCACTTAACATAATATCCTCCGATTCCAGCCATGTTGCTGTAAATGACAGGATTTCATTCTTTTTTTACTGCTGAATAGTATTCCATTGTGTAAATATATCATATTTTCTTTATCCATTAATCTTGATGGACACCTTGGCTTATTCTATTTATTGGCTGTTGTGAATATTGCTTCAGTAAACATGGGGGAGGGCAGATATCTTTTTGATACACTGATTTCTTTTCCTTTGGATAAATGCTCAGTAGTGGATTATTCTATTTGTAGTACCTTGAGGAAACTCCTTAGTGTTCTCCATAATAGTTCTAAGAGTTTAAATTCCCAACAATGTATAAGATTTTCCTTTTCTCTGCATTCTCACCAGCTTTGTTTTTTGACTTTTTGGTAATAGCCAGCCTTCCTGCGGTGAGATAATACCCCACTTCCCTGATGAAGAGTGATGTTGAGCATTTTTAAAAAATATATTTGTTAGGTATTTATATGTCTCCTTTAGAGAAATGTTAGTTCAGATCATTTACCCATTCTTAAATTGGATCATTTGGTTTTTATTGTTGGTGAGATGTTTGAGTTCCTTGTATATTCTGGTTATGAATCCCTGTCAGATGAATAGTTTGAAAGTATTTTTTCCTATTCTATAGTTTTTTTCACTCTGTTGATTGTTTCATTTGCTGTGGAGAAGTTTTTTAGTTTGACATAATCTCATTTGTTTATTTTTCTTTTGTTGTCTGTGGTTTTGAGGTCTTATTTGTAAAATCTTTTCCCAGACAATGTCTGGAAGCATTTCCCTTTTATTTTCTTCTATTACTTTTATAGTTTCAGGTCTTACACTTAAGTCTTTGACCCACTGAGCTGAATCTTCGTATAGACTGAGAGGTGGGGGTCTGGTTTCACTCTTCTGCATGTGGATATCCAGTTTTCCTAGCACTCTTTATTGAAGAAACTGTCTTTTCCCCAGTGTATGTTCTTGGCACCTTTGTCAAAAGCCAGCTGGCTGTAGATGTATGGATTAATTTCTGGGTTCTATATTATGTTCCATAGGTCTGTTTATGTTTCTCTGCCAGTACCATGTTGTTTTGGTTACTATAGCTTGTAGTATATTTTGAAGTCTGGTAGTGTGATGCCTCTGGCTTTGTTCTTTTTGCTTAGGATTGCTAAAAGCAAATTCTTGATAAAGAAATAGACTTACGCTTTATAAGATATTAAATAAGAGTATCTAATGGTAGGTGTAAGAGGTATTATAATTTTGAAGTAGTGATGAAGGTAAAAGAAATTCTCTATATTTGCAACAACTATAGGTAGAATTTGACAATATCTGTGATTTTTCCTGACTAAAGAGTCGCAGGTCCTGCTAATAATATTGTGGTTTGTTACCCACCTTCACAAACAAAGGAAATGCTTTGAAGTTGGTGCCAATAAAGATGGAACTTTTTTAAAATTATAATTTAAGTTCTGGGGTACATGTATAATTTTGCAGGATTGTTGTATAGGTATACACATGCTATGATGCTTTCATGCCTCCATACCCCTGTCACCTACATTAGGTATTTCTCCCAATGTTATACCTCCCCAATCTCCCCACCCCCTGCTATCCCTCCCCTAACCCCCCACCTCCCAACAGATCCCAGTGTGTGATGTTCTCCTCCCTGTGTCTCCACTGTTCAACACCCACTTATGAGTGAGAATATGCAGACTTTTACCCATTCAAGTTATCAGACTCTAAATTCTATACATAGACTCCTTCAGGATCTGTGTAGACTAGAGGTTACAAACCACTACTCTAGAGTATATAACTCGGAATGGAATTGCTGGGTCATAAGTTATGTTCATAGTCATCTTTTCTAAATAGTGCCAAACTGTTCTATAAAGATATATTCTTAATAGCAATGTATAAGGTTTTCCTGATGAATTTATTATTATTGCCCATCTGATCTGATGAGTGTGAAGATGCATTTTTACACCTCTCATAACGAATAGGCGTTAAAGGTTGGTGGGAATTATAGGAAGTGGGCAAAGGGAACAATGTACTTGATGGTGTTCTTGCTTAGTTTTTTTGCTCATGCAAAAGCAGGAGAGGTGGATCCAATGCTGGCTCAACTGGATAGGAGGACAGCAGTTGTACATGTAAACTCTAGATGCTGAAATTTCCTGACTGAAAACTTTCTAAATAAATACTAAGATGGAAGACTCTTAGGCAAAACTCAGAGCAAATGCCTCTAACTTCTGTGATAGGTTCTTACCTCTAGTCGTGGGTATTCTTTGCCTTAGTAGGAAAATCATCTGTCTGGGAGCTACATAAATGAGGGGTGACTATATACTTTCTGTTTTTCTATTTTCCTCAGATAGCTAATTTGTAATTTACTATCTTTGCTATATGTAATAGCAGTGTAAAACAGAAATATAAAATAACATAAAACTGTAAAAATAACTATAAATATAGATTTCATAGTCTTGGAAGTACCAAATCTACTTCAATAGGAAGCATTAAAATAAAACAAAAATTGAAGTTGTTTGTAGGAAAACCCTACCACACCTAAGACAGTACTAAAGAAAACTCTGATTCTGGGTTTAGTGGCATGTAATTTTCTTGAGGTAACTTAATATTTAAAGTAAAGATAATAAATTGGTACTGTCTCATTACCTTACAGCAACACACCAATAGCTTCAGAGATTATAAATATATAAAACTCAATAAAAAGAACCAGAATGTATATGTAGGCTTTTATTAGGGCAAACATTTCCATATCCATAAAGATTACATTAAAACAAATGGATGTCTCAAGTATCTTTGTTAAACAAAGATAAAAAATGAAGTAAATAGTAGTTAAAATTAATTATAAATAAAGATATTTCAGCACATAAACCAAAAGTTTTTTCTAGATTTTTAATACCAGGACCTAACACTATCATTTCCAAGTAAGTGTCAAATAACTAATGTGAAAACCGTAGTTAATATAGATGTCACAAATGACAATGTGGTTTTTTATAGTAAAGAAATACGTTAATTTTCATGAATCTTACTTGGTATTACAAAATAAAATTCACTGGACAAAAACCAAAAAACCCCAGGAAAACAGACATGATGGAAAGGTTGAAAAAATATATTAATAATTTAAAAATGCTGTTACAAGCATGGAAATGTTACTATTATCATTTGAATATAAGAAAATGCTATAAAACAAAGAGTTGTCAAAATACAGTAGAAGAGATATTCTGAAGCAAATGAAGAGTCAAGATCTTAAAACAGTGACAAGTATTTTTTAATGTATGACAGATACTAAAATATCACGAAGGAAGTAAACAGAACTATTTTTGAAGTGGTAGTACAAAATGTAGCCTTCAAAATGGAAGAAACATAGCAAATTAACTTACCACCTCCTTCAAATAAAAGTCAGAACCTCTTGGGAGAATTTAAGCACCATGAGCAGACAGATCTCATAGCAGTTAATGAAATGTTTTGTATTTCAGCAGAAAACTATTTCAATGGTGAAAATGATGTAGGAATCAGAAGCATATTCTGCTGAGACACTAGGTAGTTGACACTTTCTCGAACTGGAAAACATTTCATAAAAAGGCATACAGAGTTACTGACTGAATCACATTTGTTCTAAAAATAATTCATTCCTAGTTAGACAGCTTACCAGCCGCCACAACTCTGGGATCCTCATGGGACTTATGTCTCCCAGCTGCACGACTATCTGCACTCTCATTCCACCAAAGAACGTGAACTGCAGAAATAAATCACAAATATCTAAAAAATATGGCCTTCATAAGAAATAATGAATCAAAACCATCCTATTCTTTAAATCAAAATAGTGATATCGAAAAGGTAAAACTAAATATGTTAGCGATAAGATTTCAGAGGTGTCAGAGACTTACTAGAGAAATTAATAAACTAATTAAGTTGGTTTTATAGATGAAGAAATAGAAGGCTAGAAAAGGGAAGTACTAAAGTAAAACAGCTAGAGGCATAATCAAGACGAGACCCAAAATTAAATATTTCCTACTACATTTTACTTTATTTTTTAAAAAAGCAAAATTATGAGCAAATTGTGTTTACTATGAAAAATTTATATTATACAAAGAAGAAAATTAAAAGTGGTATAATGTTAACAGTATAGAGAAAACCTCTATGGAAATGTATTTCCTTTAGAAAATGAGTAAAACCAAATCAGAGTCTTATATATTATAATAACAAATTTAGCTTAGTAACAGATTTTTAAAAATCAACAGTATTTTCTATGGCAATATTAATTTTTAATGGCTATATAATTCCTCCTTACAGATACAGCAACTTATTATGCCAACCCCTTATTGTTGTTGATTAGACTATTTCCAGTAGTTCAGTATTCTATAAAATACTGGAATAAATCTTCTTCTTATACAAAATTATGAAGTTTTTATATAATTATAATATATAAATTTTAGATGTATAGGAAAATGCAGATAAATTAAAAAAACAAATTGTAATTATTACTATATTACCTAGAAATAACCACTTTTATATTTGCTGCATCTCTTTCCATATTTGTGTATATATGTATTTTGATTTTTTAATTTTAATTTTATTTTTGTAGAGACAGGGTCCCACTTCATGGCCTAGGCTGGTCTTGAACTCCTGACCTCAAGCAATCCTACTGCCTTGGCATCCCAAAGTGTTAGGATTCCAGGTGTGAGATACCATGCCTGGACTGTATTTTCATATGCAGTTGTATATTTATACAAATAAACATTTACCAGCATATTTGCTTATGCTTATGTAAATACATGATATGCATGTATATTGATTTCTGTATTACACATGTATTATATAAAGGTCATACTACATTTCCAATGTTTCTTTAATGTAAACAGTATTAACAAACTTCATTTGAGCACAGCTATATGTTTATAATAATTTTGAAGACTACTGATACTGAATGATAACTATGTGTCAGGCCTTGTTTTAAGCATTTTAATGTATTAACTCATTTACCAGCATATTTGCTTATGCTCATATCATCTAGGTTCTCATAATGGTCTATCATTTTATGGATGAAAAAACTAAGATGTGGTGAGGTTTACTTACCGAAAGTCAAAAGGTAAGTAGTGTACCTGGGATTCAAACCCAGGCAGTCTGATTCTGATTATTTCCTTAATATAAAGTAGAATTTAAGTTGAGAAAACTAAAGAGCATGTCATATATATATATATACACACACACATATAGTGTATATAGTATACACCATCCTCCAGAAATGATGTCTGTACTGATTACCTTTTTTTTTTGAGACAGAGTCTTGCTCTTTCACCAGGCTGGAGTGCAGTGGCACGATCTCGGTTAACTGCAACCTCCGTCTCCCGGATTCAAGCTATTCCCGTGCCTCAGCATCCTGAGTAGCTGGTACTACAGGCACCCACCATCACGCCTGGCTAATTTTTTGTATTTTAGTAGAGATGGGGTTTCACCATGGCCAGGATGGTCTCCATATACTGACCTCGTGATCCACCTGCCTCAGCCTCCCAAAGTGCTGGGATTACAGGCGTGAGCCACAGCGCCCGGCCCTGATTACCAATTCTAACACTGAGAATGAATTTAAATGAAAAAGTGTATGAACACAAATTTTCAGTAGTTTTTTTTAAAAAGTAAAAGTTATCTATGTGCAGTATGGAAAATTAAGATAGAGGCTGGGTGTGGTGGCTCACGCCTCTAATCCCAACACTTTGGGACGCTGAGGCGGGTGAATCACCCGAGGTCAGGAGTTTGAGACCAGCCTGGCCAACATGGTGAAACCCCGTCTCTACTAAAAATACAAAACTTAGCTGGGCATGGTGGCGCATGCCTGTAATCCCAGCTACTCCGGAGGCTGAGGTAGAAGAATCGCCTAAACTAGTGAGGTGGAGGTTGCAGGGAGCTGAGATCGTGCAACTGCACTCAGAGTATGACTCTATCTCAACAACAACAACAACAAAAAAGGAATATTAAGACAGAGACTTAAAATAACCATTGATGATAGACTGGACTGGGAAAATGTGGCACATATACACCATGGAATATTATGCAGCAATCAAAAATGATGAGTTTGTGTCCTTTGTAGGGACATGGATGAATCTGGAGAATATCATTCTCAGCAAACTGACACAAGAACAGAAAACGAAATACCGCATATTCTCACTCATAGGCAGGTGATGAACAATGAGAACACATGGACACAGGGAAGGGAGTACCACACACTGGGGTCTATTGGGGGGAATATTGGGGAGGGACAGTAGCGGGGGGAGCTGGGGAGGGATAGCCTGGGGAGAAATGCCAAATGTGGGTGAAAGGGAGGAAGGCAGCAAAACACACTGCCATGTGTGTACCTATGCAACTATCTTGCATGTTCTGCACATGTACCCCAAAACCTAAAATGCAATTAAAAAAAAACCATTTCTCCTGTTGAAATATGACCACTACGTATGTTGTATACTTTCAAATTTCTTTTCTGTATAATTTAGCACACCTATATACATACACACCCATGCATATTTTCTAGAAGAAATACTGGCAGAGACAATAAAAATAAGGCTTTATGAACACTACACAGTATTTGAATACTTTTTTTTTTCCTGACCTAATAGGATATCCATATAAGTATGCCTTTAATTAGGTAACAAAATGGCATCTCATTATTGTTTTAATCTGCATTTTCTTTAATATATATTTGATAGCTATGTGCATGTCTACTTTTGCATAAATTTTTATTTTTGCTTTTGAATCTCATTTATGGTGATTTTCAGGCATACAGAAAGTTTGAGCCTTTGTATAATAAAATCACCAGTTAATTTTTTTTTCTTCATCATTTCTTCATTTGCTTTTGGCTTACAAATATAATCCCAATCCACATTACTAAATAAATTCATCTACATTTTGTTTTACCAATTTTATGAATTAAAATTTTTCATTAAATGTATAATCCATCTTGACTTTATTTTAGCATATGGTGTGAGATAGGCATCTAAAAATTTTCATAACAATTTCTCTCCCATGTATTTTCCAACCTGACTATACCTTTATTTTTATATATTCTATTTTCTGATGATAGATGATTACAAGAAGTTGAATTTCTGCATAAAGATGGGTATATTAGGTTTGTGATGTCCATTGGACATAAAGAGATAATAGGAAGGTAACTGGATATTATGATGAGTCTTTCAAATATTTGTTAGCTATTCTTAGACATTTATCCTTTGTTCCTTTTTTTTTTAAGAGACAGGGTCTTACTATGTCATTCAGGGGCTAAAGTGCAGTGGTGCCATCATAGCTCACTGCAGCCTTGAACTCCTGGCTCAAGTGATCCTCCCACCTCAGCCTCCCAAGTAAGTAGGACTACAAGTGTTTACCACCATCCCCAACTAATTGTTAAAATATTTTTTTGTAGAGACAAGCTGTGTTGCCCAGGCTAGTCTCGAACTCCTGGGCTCAAGCAATCCTCCCACCTCAGCCTCCTAAAAGCGCTGATTACAGGTGTTAGCTACCTCATTGGCTCCTTTATCCTTTCATATAAACTTTACAAATGTTTTTAATTTGCCACAAAATACCTTGAAATTCTGATTGAAATGTTTTCCAACTTTAAAAGTTAAATATTCCAAATATGTGTTTTTTTAAATAAAATTATATCCATATATAAATTTGCCTTCATATATATGTATATTTATTGTCTCTCTATATAGAGATATATATAAAACTGTGGTGGAAAATGGGTACATTTTTATGGGGAGGGCTTTAATATTTATACAAAATATATATTACCTTTTTACTTAGAGATAATCTTCCTACCCCAAGAAATATTTTTAAAAAATCAGTAAAAGTACATTCAGAGGAAAAGAAATGATGAACATAACAGTTTATTTCTTGAGGTTCCTTCAGTTTGTTTGTTTGTTTGTTTGTTTTGAGGTGGAATTTTGCTCTTGTCACCCAGGCTGGAGTGCAATGGTGCTATTTTGGCTCATTGCAACCGCTGCTTCCCAGGTTCAAGTGGTTCTCCTGCCTCAGCCTCCACAGTAGCTGGGATTACAGGTACCCACCACAAATTACAGGCCTGGCTAATTTTTTCTATTTTTAGTAGAGATGGGTTTCACCATGTTTGCCAGACTGGTCTCAAACTCCTGACCTCAGGTGATCTGCTCCCCTTGGCCTCCCAAAGTGCTGGGATTACAGCATTAGCCACTGTGCCCGGCCGAGCTTCCCCAGAACCGAAAGTATAATAAAATAAATAAATAAATATAAATAAATAAATTTAATCATTTTGATGTGTAAGGGAAAACTGCTATTCAGCATTTGAAAAAGGTTTCATAAGTTGTTAACTTTCAGATGTAAAACAGATTTTCTCAATTTTTAAAATTATAAAAAACTAAACATTTAGTAATAATTAATAAAATATACTCTATAATGAGAAAGAGAGACCCAAGGAACCTAGGAACCCAAGGAACTTAAGTCACAATACATATTACAGTTTCATATAAGAAGAAATGGACAATTGTACCTCTGTTGAGTGCTCCATATTCTGTGTGGAACACTCCAACTAGTTTTGTGTAGCCTAGATTGACATGAGCATGAACTGCCCTTTTAAATGCATCACCCCACAGAGCTGGCCCACCAGGTTTCATCTGAAAAGTGGCCAGTTCATAGACTCCTAAAATAGGGAGAAAAAGAATTTTTTAGAAGATACTCAAGCAATATCTAATCATGTTTCTCGGTCCTTTCACTATCTATACACACAGATTGGGAGGATCAGACATGCATACATATTATGTAGACATGTTTATTATATTTGCATTCTCTTTCTTTGCTTTTATGTTTAGAAAGTTCTTGCCTATGTTTAAGAATGAGTTGTTATGCTTAATCATACAGACAACAAAGAAAAATAACTGGAAGCTATTATCAACTATTATCTGAAATATTTTTAATCATAAAATTTGTCAAAAAACTGTTGAGAATTTATGATGAAACAGAATTTTGAGCTGAGTGAGTCTATACTTTTAAAAAATAAAAGAATAAAAGAAGAATTTTCCAATCTATATTTTCATTCTTTCCAATTTACACTGTTTTTCTTCATATAATTTCTCCCTATAAGTTTCCATTTTTAACAGGAACAGCAAAGCAAAGAGTGGACCTGAAGTGATGTCTCTGAATTTTGGGGGAAAAAAAGCATAAAGAGATGGTTTTATTTTTCCTAAATATCCAGGTAAATACTTGAAAAGTATTGTACACTTTGGACAGAAGTATAGGGCTGGTGGAGAGAAAGAAACTAGGGGACTAGTAGGAAAGGCATGCAAACATTTCTAAGCAATGATGAACACAGAGGAGGAGAACCAAGATTTGACACTGTCAGAGAAGTGAACTGTTTTATTTAGATAGTGCTGAGAGCTGAGAGGACACCTAAGTGGGTAAAGATCCAAAGAACACTTTGCTAATTTTTTGTAACCTAAATACACTACAAAGTTGGGAATAATGGGGGAAGTAAAATAACATTTAAATTAGTTTATGTTTTCTAATCTGACCTTTGTTTAAAACTGGATTGAGGTAATAGTTTCTTTAAGTCAGGAAGAAGTGAAATCAGCAAGAAGACAAATCTTAAGCATGACTTTCAAACTGAGAAACAAGAAAGAAGACACAAAAGTTAGACTAAAGTAATATAGCTTGGCAGTTTCAGTTAATCTGTTTCCCCCAAATAGTCAATTTTATAAGCCAAGCTGTATTTAATGATTCAAGATTAGTTATAATGTATGGAAATGCTTTTACATTTTAAAGATTACATTATTTTAAAATTATGGCAAAACTTCTTATGCTATCTTTTACCTATCAACACGCTCCCTGCTCCCAGTGCACAAATTCTCAACCTCTACTGACCATGTCAACTTTTTCTATAACACAGTTAAGCTTTACAAATCTGTAAGATCTCAATTTGAAAAAAAAATCTCATTATTTTATGCTCACTTTTTTCAAGGACAGGGTAAGAGCCCTCATTTATTTTTACCTCAACAATCACTGTATGTTCCTATATAAAACAAAGGATTAATTTTTTTCCAAAGGAACTTCAGTTTTTATCACTTCAGTTCTTTAGTATTTTATTCATCAAAACTCAAAGTGACTAACAAGGAAGGACTTACCTTCTTTTGAAGGTTTTTCTAATTTGCACCATGGTACCAAGTAAGTAATCTCACTCTCTTGTTTATCAATGAGAGCCAAATTTGGAATGAGGAATTTTTCTTGCCATTCCTTATCTTTGGCCAAGGCTTTCCGAACTTCACTTCGATGAGCAAAATGATCTGTGGGAAGAAAAGAATTATGATAAATAAAAAGTTTTAATTTTAAATCACCTGTACTTTTCTGGTTTTCATTCAAATCAGCAAATGTTCATTGATGCCATATAAGGACCCTGTGTTAGGCCTTTGGAGACACCAACATAAACAGATGTGACCATCTGTCCTGAAGTTACTCAAGGACAAAAAGGGTAGTAGAAATGCAAACGAATTGTAATGTCATATAACAGGCTTTATAGGCTCTACCATGTAGTAGGCAGTTTTGTGAATTAGGTAAGTTATTGAATTTTTCTGTGCCTCAGTTTCTGTGAAATTGAGATAATAAGACATCTACCTCCAGGGTTGTATGAGGATTAAATTAACACATGAAGAGTTTAGAATAGTGGTTGGACTTTTTAAGCCTCTTTGAACAAAAAAAGATTTCAAAGAAATAATACTGATTCTCCTATTGTCACCCATTCTTTCTCCCCAGCACTTAATTTCTCTTCTATTAAAGTTACCCAGTTACATACATTTGCCAACATATGGGCCTAGTACTATATTTACTGTTAGGACTTCATAAGACTAATAGTAAGAGAGTTTCATATGGTTTCATATTCTTTCAAAAGGAAGAATACCTATCTTACAACTTAAGTGAGGTGTATCAGAACTTAGTTTTTAAAAATGGGCTGTGATAAAACTTGTACCACATCTAAAGCATAAATTGTATTTTAATGGGGCTTTTTCTGTTATAACAGGGAAAACCCTAAACCAAACACTAAATGAAATTATTAAAAATTCTTTAGGTATCATCATGTCTGATGTAGACAGACACTGGAATAAAAAGCATTCTGGGGATTCTTGTAACTTGTTCTCCTTCCTCTACTCAACCAGGTATAGGTTAGTTTCAACATGGGACAAACTCTCTCCTATTCTTTTACCTCCCTCGAGTAGTATGACAGCGAATTCCTTGAAACTCTGGGGTACAGATATTAAACAAACGTTGTTTCTAAACATAACAATTATTAAATCTCATATTTCAGTGAGGATGAAAAGTTAACCATCATTCCCTATGATCCTCCATATTCATGAAGTTCCTTAAATGGTTGGAAATCTTTCTGCTAAAATACTGATATCCAGCCTCCTAGCTTCAAAAAAAGAAAAGATATTTGTGATCTTAACCCACTTGGACTTTTACAATTGCTGCTTCAAATTTTTCATAAACTATCTTTACAGCAAATCATTTTAACATTTTTCTGAGGATTAAAGTCTAGTTCACAATTTTATGTCTTGATATATGTGACGCCATGTTTTCCAATTTACAATGTAAGAGTTTCAGCAAGGGGATAGAGGTATACCACTGGGAAGAATAAGAACTGAATTTTTTTTTTTTTGGTATAGCTGTCCAAAAGTCTTAGTTAACCTGTATGTATATATAGTAATATAGATCCAAGAACTAAGTTTTATGTTACATTTAACAGAATGAAAATCAATACTGAACGCTAAAACTGGATGAGTCTTTACCATACTTCCAAATATGAAACACTTTATTCATTCTGCCTCCAAATTCTGCACTCCAGTATCCAACCAATTCAGAGTGAGCTGTCCGAAGATGAACATTTTTCTTAAAATTTTCCAGGAACTCATTCATTTTTGAGGGTTTAAGGTAATAAGTACGAAATTCATATAAGGTTCCATCATATTGTCTAGGTCCTGTAGCAAAAGGTGAGCACACCTGAAGAAGATAAGACAAATGTAAATATCTTGGGAAGATAGGATTCATTATACTATGTTACAGCCAAATCTGAGTCTGGTACAAGGAACACTCGTAGAGTCATTACTCATGTTTGTACTTCTGTTGTCAATTCTCAGTATGTTACCGGTGGAGGGTGTCCAGGTTCTTGGTATTTTGAACAAAGAATTGGATAAAATGCACAAACAAAGCAAGGAAATAATGAAGTAACAAAAGCAGAGATTTATTGAAAATGAAAGCACACTCCACAGGGTAGGAAAGGGCCTAAGTGAGTGGCTCAAGGGTCCTGGTTACAGTATTTTCTGGGGTTTCAATACCCCAGAGAGGTTTCCCATTGGTTACTTGGTGTAAGCCCTATGCAAATGACGAGGATGAAGTAAAGTTACAAAATCATTTACTCTGTGCACGCCCTATGTAAATGAAGAGGATATTTCTTGTCATAGCTGAGGTGTTTGATTTAGTTCTAGGAATTCCTCAGGTTCCCTGCCTCCAGGCTCTATTCTCCTGCCTCACATATATACTCGTTTACATAGAGACGTCTATAAAGACAACTATTAAATATGCTTAGTAGCTAGTTACTGTTTCCAAGCGGGGGTTTCCTGTCACCTTTAGCCACTTTTTCAGAAATTGCTCATAAGGCACTGAGATCTTAATGATACAGTTAAGAACTACAGTTAGAATTCTAACAAATTTACAAAAGCTTTCCTATTAGCCAATAATTGCATCTTTAGTCAAGAGCATATGTGTTACAGTTATGCATATCAAAAAACTTTATTAACCACAGACGTCTTTTGGCAGGCATAATGAAAAAATGTTTACTAGCAGAAAACTCTTTCAGGTTCTTGAAAAAAATGGAAATTACAATTCAGGTCAAAGTATTTCCTAAATTCACTGAAGTAAACCACTGGTCAAAATAGGACTGGAATGTAACTAATGAAATAAAAAGTATGACCTATCCAATTACATTGTAATATAGTGCTAGTCCATGAATCCGAGAAAAGAAAATTCAGAGTCAAAATTTTCTGATTATTAGTTTCTAGTTACAGAAGCAATGTGAACAACATTTAATTCATTTAAAACATATTGGTGAAAATATCCCTAAGAACCATTAATTCTTTTCATAATAGTCATACACTCACTGTAAATATCTAATTTGTGTTCTGGTTGAACTTTCGATAAGAAATACCTCACCAAAGATTATCCTCTGTGTAGGTATTTATGTGTGTATATATGTATACACATACACATATATACACACATGATATACACACAGACACTCATGATATTCTAATTTATAAATCCATCTTACATAAGTTTGGTTAGCATGTGCTATTTCCTGAAGTTGATTACACCAGAATAATCTATTAAGACAGTTTTGATACCTACAAAACTATGGACAAATTAGGGCTTATATTGGTTAGCCAGTATGTCTACTTGCTTGAAAGCAGTAGGCTTTTGCTCTGATATATTTTTGTTTACAAAATACAAAATTATGTAACTATGTATGATAAGGCTTAATGATAATTACCTAGAGTTAATTCTATTGATGTCTGAGTTGTATGCTTACTGCTCAAATGACTAAGCCTACCAACAAAAACAACGGCTGCCCCTGTATTTCGTGGACACTCTTTTTGTGCTTTTAAACAAAACTCTAGTAACAGAATGTTGGTATAATAAACAAGTGCCTAGTATCCATAATTTCAAAATTGTTATAACAAAATATATCAGGAAATAGGCCAATGGGGCATTTGTGACAACTGGATTTCAGGTCGATTTGGGGAATTTGTATTTGGGGGATAAAATGGTTGATCAAAGGTACACATTTTTACAATTTTTTTGCAGTATTAATATATAGTAGGGAACCTCCAATGAGACAGAGGTGTGGAAGGTGGTACTAGAGAAGGAAGACCGCAGGGGAGCGGGGTATTGTGGGGGAGGCGGATGGGAGGTGAGGAGAATTTTGCTGCAGGGATGACTTTTAACTGCAAGGGCAGAAATCACTAGTCGTCCATGCTCCCTCATCTCCAAGTTAGGGCTCATTCCCACCCGCAACGACCTCCACTCCCCTTACAAGAGAACAATTGATGGACATTTTTAAAGACTCAGAGTTCAGAATAATGCCATAAGGATGTAATTCTTGGCCCTGCCCCACTGGAGAATCATCAGGGTAAAGACTGGATTGTTAATCTGGGGTGAATGGACATTAGCTGCTCTTCTTTAGTGTTCTTCAGTCTGTCTCTAGGACAGGTAAATCCCCTTCCTATCTTGCCCCTTGAGAAAGCAGCAAAGTCCTAAACATAAAAAGGAAAAGAAATGTCTGGGTTTGATGCACAGAATAGGCCACTCCCGAAAGTTAGGGGAGAATCACAAGCTCCATCTTGTCCATTTCTCATCTAAGGTTGAAAGAGTCTGTCTGTCATCGTCCTGTTTGCTCGGAGACTCTGGTCCCCACCTGGCGGAGGGAGCGACCACCGAAGCGCGGGTGGCGGGCAGGGTCCAGCCCCACCCGAACCCTGGGCCTCCTCTTCAAGGGTATCCGCGAAATGGTCCGAAGTTGTGTGTTTCATTTGAAAGGGGGAGGCCATTTCCTCCTTCAACCTGATGTTTAGAGAGGGCGGTGGTTTGGCAAGCCCCAAACCCACAGGCAGCCCGACAGCGCCAGGTGACAACGCGGGAGCGCTCCCCTGGCCAAAGCCGCGATGTAGCTGGGCGGTAAAAACACAACAGCCAGCGCCTCGGGTGTGTCCCGGCGGGTGTGTCCTCCAGGCTAGAAAAATCTGACCGCGACTGACCGCGAGGCGACCCCGGCTGGGGGTATTCTCTTAGCAGTGGCCTCCTCACGCGTGTCCCGAGTACCCCAGTCTTGTGGTTCCAGGGTTCTCGCTAGAACCTCCGCAGCGGCGCGGCGCCCACTGTGGGCGCGCCTGGCGGAGGGCGCATGTGCATGGCTCTCTTGTTCCCGGAACACTCCCCGCTCCTCCCCTTCCCTCGTGCAAGGGCTTGGGCGCCTCCGCGGCCGGTACCTGAGGTGCGAGCGTCCGTGAGGCCAGCGCCCTAGTCAGGCCGCTTCTGAGGACCAGCATGGCGCGGCTTCCGCGTTGAGAGTAGCAGCCAGCCGTGTCCTTTCTGAGACTCCTCTGAAGATTTTCCGAGTGGAAAGTAGCAGCTCCTGGACCATCGGCGGACGCAGGCTGGGGCGGGGCTCGGCGGGGTCAGCTCCACCCCGGCGCTGGAGGCGCGGCGGGTCGCGCAGCTTGGTGTCTTTCTCCTAACCTTGGTCCCCGTTGGTTTCCTGGAACGTTCTTTACCCAAACGTTAGAGATGACGTTAACTGAACGCTGAGATTATTCCTGCTCTACCTTTCTGGGCCCTCCCTCAATTCTTTCGCTCCAGTGCGCAGTTGTGTAGATTCGTAAATGTGCAGGGGTTGTGCGTGTGTTGTCCATGGAGAAGGAAGGAGAGGTGCTGAGTGAGTGCATGTGCCGTGTTTTGCATTTAAAATCGTGGAGGTTGTAAGTTTTAGATGTGATAGACGTGTATTTGAGCCTGACCTCTCTGCAACGAATGTGTTCTCCATTCCCATGGCCACCCCAGTGTGATCTTAGAAGGCTCCTGATTAAATTTTCCACGAGCTCAGAGAAATGGCAGCACCGAGCCTGATAAGAAAAAGTCGTTAAACATACCCTGGTCCTCCCAGTTCGGGAGCGTTGGTTCCCAGAGTAACCACCTTCAACATTTTAAGCTGTTTTTTCTAATGCTTGTTTCCATGTTTTAAAGTAAGAAGTATTTTCTGCTGTTTCTTGCATTTTCAGTTATGGATAGTATGTGCTGACTTCCTTCTGTGGCAGAAGAGGATTTATGTCTCATAGATGCCACTGTCCCCAAACTCACTTGTCTTCCTGCATCTATTAATGCTTATGTTAATTAATTTACATTAATTTATTACATTATTTACAGTAATCTACATATTCTTTATTCTTGCTAATAATTACATTATTATACACATAAATGTCATATTGCTTACAACATGAGGACTAGGGAGTTATTACAAGACTATGAACTCTGGTTGTATTGGTTTGCCTTGTGGAAGGGCTTTGGAATTGTCTGTTCACAGGAAGGAAGGCTTTTAAAAATTATTTTGGAAGGATTGCCTCAGTTTTTCTCAAAGAGAGGCATCCATGTGTAACTGTGCAAGACTAAAGAAATCGTTTGCATCAGGACTGGACCTATATGAGTAAATTATTTTCTTGGACCTTTTTTTAAGCCTGTAATTGCCAATCCATTTACTTATTCTACAGATATTTACTGAATTCCTTCCGTGTTCCAGGCACTTTTCCAGAAAGTGGGATACAGAACTGAGCAAAAGTCAAAGATCTTGTTCTCTTGGAATATCCACGTTGGAGGAAACAGATAAGCAAATGAAGAGTAAATATATCAGGATTTCCCAATAATATAAAGAAAAATACAGTAAGATACAAAGAATAAAACTGCTAGTGGAATTCTGAAAGTGCTCAGGATTCTAGCTATTTATTGACTTAGATATTTAGGACTTAGGTTTCTTCATACCACTCTCTCAAAATACACTTTCCTTCCTGCATCTATTGATGTTTACATTAAAAATATGTTTTGGAGTAAGAAAAAATGTTAAAAGCACTGTAAGTATGGGTGGATGTCTTAAAGTAGCAGGCCTCACTGTAAGGTGATCTGAATATTTCATTGAAGGCTATGTCCCCTCCCCCAAACTGTTATGTGCAAGTTATTTCTCCGTGTAATCAGTGTTAGGGAGGGGAAACTTACAAGTATCCTATCTGTGTGGGAAAGCCTTGCTGCCAATTTCCTGAGGCTAAGGAGGGAAGAAGGCCAGAACACTCAGCATTTGGTAGTATCTTTCAATAATATATTAATTAGGGTAGATTAAATGGCTCTTGCAAATCAACACACAAAAAAGTGTATTATTACTCAAACACTATAGGATTTTATTTTTTATAAGAATCCAAAGTGGGTTTTTCTAGTTGGGAGGTAGCTCTTCTATACATAGTGAATTAGGTACCCACACTAGTGAATTAGCTACCCTGTGGCTTTGCCATTCCCAGTCTCATCATTAACTGCATCCATCCAACAGAAAGATAACAGGGAAATTCCAAGAGGAATTTCCAAGAGGAAAATACAGATAGGGGCAAAATTCATGGCTACAGTTTAGAGATGGCTAAACATTGTTAAGTGCTACTAAGTAGCTAAAATATTCTCCTATTTGCTTTCTCACAGGTTTTAAATATCCTCAACCTGCTATGAGTTAACCTTGATCTCCAGTTTGTAAGTGAGAAAGGTGAAGTCTGGAGAGAGAATTTTCTCAAGTTCATTGCTACAAAGTGGCACAGACTTTGAAGCCCAATTTAAAACCAGTTCAGTTTACCATTTATTTTTAAAAGATAGGCGATTATTAAGATAATTTTAGATTTGTAGCGGAAAATAGCTTTTAGAAAGAATTTAAAATGTAATATTGTTCTGTGGCTGTTTTTAAAAACATATCCCTAAACTGCCTGGAAAATATATAGGATAAACATTTTGAAAATTAATGTTGCATATCTGGAAATTCTGACAAATAGTTCAAAGGATAGATAGATCAAAGCTAGAAAAATCATACCAAAAAAAAAAAAAAAACCCCTAGATTATCCAAATAGGCTTATATGATATAGAGAAGCTGGGTAGTTATTCTGGATTGGATAGATGGAAATGAGCTATGAAAGAAGGTAACATCGAACATTTATTATAGATACGGCAGTGTACACTTTAAAGAAGAAGAATGAAGTGAATGTCTGTGCTCTTGCCACCAGGCTTAAGAAAAAGGGTATTGCCAGCAACTCACAAGCCTCATACATGTTCGTTCCTGGTCACATTCTTTTTACCATCCTCTCCCCCAATTCCCTCAAGTAACCATGATCCCAAATTTTGTGTTATTACAATATTTTTTCAGAAAAAATTCAACTACATTTGTTTATAACTCTACATGGTGTATTGCTTTGATTTGCCTGCTTTAGATTGTTTATTCACTAATTTTATTATTTTGTTACATAATTGTTATTACTTTAGGCTTTGAAAATCACCCACATTTATGCACTTGTGTGAGAAATGCATGTTAATTCACTTCCCTTTTGTATGCTATTTTATTACAGGAAAATACTTTGATTTTTTTTGGGTCCATCTGAGTATTAACAACAAAGCTGCTTGAATTTATTTGTAGATGTCTACTGGTTCTGCCAGAAGAATTTCTCTAGGGCAGGTATTATTAACTTTTGTGTGTGTTTTAAAATCCTTTTAAAATGTATAAGAAATACATAGGGTTGCAAAGAAAAAAATACAGAGAAAAAATTAAACTAGAATAATCAAAATACACAAAAATGAAAAAATTGAACTAGAATAATGAAATATAAAAGAAAACTTTTTTATAAAGAAATAGACATGCTTCTTTATTAGGGCACTAAATAACAGTATCTAATGGTGGGTGCAAAAGATATAATTTTGAAGCAGTGATAAGTGTGGAAGAAATTTTTATCTATTTGCAACAACCATAAATAGGATTTGACATTATCTATAATATTTATTGGCTGCAAAGTCACAGGTCCTGCTAATATTGTGGTTTGTTACCTACCTTCACAAACAAAATGATTAATTTCAGTTAGATATTGGTGCCAATAAAGTTGTAAATGTTATTCACCCAACTCATCAGACCCTCTGAATTCTATCCATAGATTCATTAAAAATCTGTGTACTGGAGGTTACAAACCACTACCCTGGATTACATACCCAGGAGTGGAATTGCTGGGTCATAAATTATGTACATATTCATCTTTACTAAACAGTGCCAGACTGTTTGATAGCAGTGTATGAGGTTTTCCTGACCATTTTTTTATTATTGCCCATCTGGTCTGATGAGTGTGAAGACACATTTTTATACCTTTAATAACAAATAGGTATCCATTGAAAGGGGGTGGAAATTGTATGAAATGAGCAAAGGAAACAATCTACTCAATGGTGCTCCTGCTTGTTTTTTTTTTTTTTTCCAAAGGTCAGACTCATGCAGAAGCAAGCAGGTAGACCCAATTCTGGCCCAACCGAATAGGCTAGGTAGTGCCAGTGCTGGCCCAACTGAGTAGGAGGGCAGTACTGCTGCTTGTAAACGCTGGATGTTTATATTCTGGTACTACATCCCTGGGTACTTTCTTGTTTTGGTGCTTTGTTATTCTGCAACCACTAGATGGTGGCATAGACTCACTTTTCCATATGTCTATTTCTGTTATTTTTTAGTTCCTGTAAATGTAAGTTATACGTATTTATAGAGTGGAGTTAACTTACAGTTTATTGTTTGTGATCCTGGATTATGTATAGAAGAAAAACTTCTGTAAAGGCAGGTTACTACTAATAATAAGGCAGGTTAATAATTTTAAAAATGGCAATAAAAATCCATTTTTATTCAATTTTCTTTAAAAAGAGACCTACTCATATCACCGAATATTTTTTAAGTATTTGTTGTATGTTTAATATTGAATTAAATCCCTTAATGAAGGAAAAAGAAAAAAAAACACCACTGCATCTTTCTTTCTGAGGTGGTCAGCATGTCTTCATATTTTTGTATCCGTCTCTTTTCAGAGTTCTTAAAGACTTGTGAATAGCTAAACCTTTAAATATAGTAGATATTAATTTAAAATGTTGCTATTAATCAAGTATTGTTATTTCTAAAACACACAAACATGTTTAATATATATTCATTACATCTCTTTAGATATAAAAATGGATACTTTACATTTCCCATTGGAAAATGAATTTTAGTGCCAATGACATTTTAAAACCTGACATCAGTGAACATGATTATTTCCTAAAATAGGCTTGGCACATCTTTTGCTTTGAATAATCTCTGTACCTCACAATTGGATTTGAGGAGACATTTTATTGGACAGATATTTCTGAAACTTTTACTGTTGTTTGAGATTTTTCTTATTAAATATGGCTTTTTTTTCTAGGTGTAATTTGAGACGTCTTCTAGCTTTAAGCACTTATACACCTTATTTGTACGTATTTTTTTCATTAAGTTCCTCTTCCAAATGAACACTCATTATTCAGTGCTCTCCAGTGTATTCTTTACCTCCATGAATTTGTCCCAGGTACCTTCTAGCTGGGTAATGGATTCACTTTTCTAATCTGAGTTAGATTTACTTGGCTCTCATTGATTGTTTTTATAGCATCTTTAAGTTTGTTGTATTTTATTTATTCGAATGTTATATTGAGAACTAGAACTTTAATGCAAGGGGCAAGTAGGCTATGTCCAACCAAAAAGGGGCTGTTGTCTCTGTTGCTCCTTGTTAGGTGTTTCAGGATACTGCCTAGGATTTTTCCACACATTCTTTATGCTCTAAGTTGAGATGCCTTGCTATCTCTTTTGAAGGGTGACAGAAATAGTTTATGGGAAATTAGAACTTCTCAGATTAAAATTCATTCTGAAAAACGTTCTAAGTTGTCTTTTTTTTTTTTTTTGAGACGGAGTTTCGCTCTTGTTACCCAGGCTGGAGTGCAATGGCGCGATCTTGGCTCACCGCAATCTCTGCCTCCTGGGTTCAGGCAATTCTCCTGCCTCAGCCTCCCGAGCAGCTGCTAAGTTGTCTTTTTAAGATAGCTTAATAGTGCTATTAGAAGTTGCCTTCATATCCAAAATTATTTTTTTCTCGTATAGACTTAAAAAAATACATTTCCCAATTTCCTTACTCCCTTGCAGTCATCTGAAGCTTCCACTTAGCACAAAATAAAAAGTGAGAAGAAAGTTAATAAAAGTCATAACTTTAGAGGGTACCTGAGTATAAGTCCTGTTTCACAGCATTTTTTATTAAAAATTAGTTGGTCTGGCCAGGTGCAGTGGCTCACACCTATTATCTCAGCACTTGCAGAGACGGGTAGATCACTTGAGGTCAGGAGTTCAAGACCAGCCTGGGCAACATGGTAAAACTCCATCTCCACTAAAAATACAAAACTTAGCCAGGCGTGGTGGTGGGCACCTATAATCCCAGCTACTTGGGAGGCTGAGGCAGGAGAATTGCTTGAACCCAGGAGGTGGAGGGTTGCAGTGACTCAAGATTGCAGCACCGCACTGCAGCCTGGGTGAGAGTCTCAAAAACAAACAAAACTACAGTTCGTCCTTTGCCTCTTCATTTTGTTTGTGTCTTTTTTTTTTTTTTTTTGGTTATTATTCTCTACATTGCTAGATTCTGTTTGCTAGTATTTTATGTTCTATTTTCCTGTCTGTGTTTATAAGTGAGATTGGCTCATAAGTTTTCCTTGCTCATATTATCCCTGTTCAGTTTTTGTTTCAGGGCTATACCAGGCTTACCAAAAGAGTTGGGGGAGCTTTCCATTCCCTTTTTAAGTATTTTATGAACCCCTTCATATATCACAGGGGTTAACTGTTCTTGGAATATGTGTTAGAATTATCCAGGGAAATTATTTGGGCCTGGTAAATTTAAAAAAGTTAATATTTTTTAAATTATGGTAAAATACAGATAACATACAATTTAACCATCTTAACCATTTTTTTTTTTTTGAGACGGAGTTTCACTCTTATTACCCAGGCTGGAGTGCAATGGCGCGATCTCGGCTCACTGCAACCTCTACCTCCCAAGTTTAAGCTATTCTACCACCTCAGCCTCCTGAGTACCTGGGATTACAGGCATCCATCATCATTCCTGGCTAATTTTTGTATTTTTATAGAGATGGGTTTCACCATATTGGCCAGGCTGATCTTAAACTCCTGACCTCGAGTGATCCGCCCACCTTGGCCTCCCAAAGTGCTGGGATTAGAGGCATGAGCCATTGTGCCAGGCCTCCATAACTCTTTTCATCTGGCAAAACTGAAACTCTGTGCCCATTAAATAATAACTCCCCATTCTCCCCAATGCTCCTGGCAACAACCCTTCTATTTTCTGTCTCTATGATTTTGATAACTCTAACTACTTCATATTAGTGGAATCATAAGATATTTTATCTTTTTGTGAATGGCTTACTCAACATGATGTCCTCAGTGCTTTACCACATTGTAGCATGTGTTAGAATTTCCTTCTTTTTAAGGCTGAGTAATATTTATGTACATACCACATTTTGCATATCCATTCATTCATCAATGGACACTTGAGTAGCTCTATGTTTTAGCTATTGCTTATTGGCCATTGTATATCTTCTTTTGAGAATTGTCTATTCATGTCCTTTGCCCACTTTGTGATGGAATTATTTGTTTTTATCTTGCAGATTTGAGTTCTTTGTAGATTCTGGATATTAGTCCTTTGTCGGATGCATATTTCACGAATATTTTCTCCCATTCTGTGGGTTGTCTGTTTACTCTGCTGATTATTTCTTTTGCTGTGCAGAAGCTTTTTAGATTAATAGGTCCTATCTATTTATTTTTGCTTTTGTTGCAATTGCTTTTGGGTTCTTGGTCATGAGCTCTTTGCCTAAGCCAGTATCTAGAAGAGTTTTACCAGTGTTATCTTCTAGAATTTCTATTGTTTCAGGTCTTAGATTTAAGTCTTTGATGCAACTTGAGTTGGTTTTTTATAGAAGGTAAGAGATGAGGATCCCATTTTATTCTTCTACATGTGGTTTGCCAGTTATCCTGGTGCCATTTGTTGAATAGGGTGTCCTTTCTCCACTTTATGTTTTTGGTTGCTTTGTTAAATATCAGTTAACTGTAAATAATTGGCTTTATTTCTGGGTTCTCTGTTATGTTCCTTTGGCCTACATGCCTATTTTGATACCAGAACAATGTTGTTTTGGTAACTATAGTCTTGTATAATACCATAGTTTGAAATTGGGTAATGAGATGCCTCCAAATTTGTTCTTTTTGTTTACTCTTGCTTTGGCTCTATGGGGTTTAGTTTTTTTGGGGGGGGGGGTTCCGTATGAATTAAATTACGTAAAGTACGTCTTTAATTTCCACATTTAAAAGACAATTCTGGGCTGGGCGCAGTGGCTCATGTCTGTAATCCCAGCACTTTGGGAGGCCGAGGCAGGCACATAACGAGATCAAGAGATCGAGACCATCCTGGCCAACATAGTGAAACCCTGTCTCTACTAAAAATACAAAAATTATCTGGGCATGGTGGTATGCACCTGTAGTCTCAGCTATTTGGGAGGCAGGAGAATCGCTTGAACCTGGGAGGCAGAGACTGCAGTGAGCCAAGATCATGCCACTGCACTCCAGCCTGGAGACAGAGCAAGACTCCGTCTCAAAGAAAAAAAAAA